TGCATTACGTTACACTATGTTTATTCTTCTGTTGACTGGCGGATTATCAATTAAATATAAAAAAAAATTCTATAAGTCAAACTATAATTAGAACATTAGACTTATAGGTACAGAGATATTTAATATGTACTTTTGAATATAAAAGTATACTGAATATATCGTACATATCAATACATATCATATATATATATATTTAACTAATCGATTAGTCGATTAGTTGATTAATCGATTAATTAACCAATCAATTAACTGATTAATCGATCTATATATTGATTAATTAATTAATTGATTAATTGATTAGTTGATTAGTTAAACATAAACAACTATTAATTAATTTTCTAAAAATTTTCAACTAACTAATCGATTATAATTTTTTGCTCAATTTATAACACTACGCAGAACTGTGCTATAAACTATTTTTTGCAAATATCTCGATTACCTATAATCCAATTTTAATATTTTTAGTATTATTCAAACCATCTCATCAAAAAGAATCGAATAGTACTAAAATTATTAATTTTGAACTACTAGTTAACAAGTTTGTTTGATGGTTGTAAACACACTCAAATATAATTATCTCATGAGCTAGTAATCAGAATTTAAAGATTTTAGTACTATTCAATCCGTCTTATTGAGAGAAATCGAATAGTATCAAAATCATTAAATTCTGATAACTGGATTATGAGTTATCACAAAATTTGTTAAAAATTTCTAGGATCGCAAATCTTTGCAAATCTGTACTATATTTATTTTCCCGATGTTTGATAATTCAAAACCAAGTCTCTATATATTCAAGCAATTGCTCTTCTTTATGGTTAGTTAAAATTTTGTTGGGGCCTGGACAGTTAAAGAAATTATTATTCAGAATAATATATCTAAATATTGATTCTAGAATACCAAAGTCTTGTGTAATACTTCTTTTATTTGGGAGCTTAGGATCATTTGAGGAGTCTTTAATAAAATTAAGAGCTTCTTCAATAACACTATTTTGAGTAGCTTTATCTTTCTTAAGCATCATAATTTGAAGTTTTTAATTTGTTCTTTTGTAAATTTTTAATATAGTAAAAATCTTTATTTGCTATATTACATGACAAAGTAGACTGTAGTTAAAAGCAGTTCAAAATATTCGCTACTTCTACACATTTATAAATTGATAGTTACACTTAATCATGTAGTTCAAAAAATATTTATTGTTATGATGATACAGTTCAAAACATTCACTATATTTATACTTATATAGTTATACCTGATTATGCGTTTAATTGCTAATAAATGCTATACACCTCAAGCTTACCTTAATTTAAACTATGTGGTACACTTATAATACATAATACTTAGTCTGGTTCTTTAATAAAGATAAAATTGTAAAGTTGTGTAGTAATAGTTAAAAAAAAAATCATTTTATAAATATATAATTTTCTTCAAAAAACACTATTAATAACTATTATTACTTTAGTAGTGATATCTTGTGACTTATTGATTGGAATTGCATGATTTTAATACCAATTGATCCATCTCATCAAGATGGATTGATTGGTACCAAAATCGTACAATTTTGATTAATAGGACACGAGATATTATAACTGTGCTATAATTAGTAATATACTATATATAATATCCATATCTACCTTATATATTAAATATACAAAGATTTTTAGCTAATACTTACACTTTCCCTTCTTTTTAATAAAAGCTTACCTAGCTGCTCTTTAGTGCCTAGATATAATCTGCTATAGCAACTTTTTTTCTTCATTATAGCTTTTAACTTGCTAAAAGAGTATTTATAAGATTTTAAAATAGCCTTGTCAAGACTGTATTTATGAACTATATTTAGGTGGTCTATATAGATTTAACCACTTTGGTTTTCTGTTAAAAAGAACTACTTTTTTAATCTTTTTCTTTTACTTTTTTCTAATATTTTTTCTCTATCTTTTCAGATATATTTTCTTCTATCTGTTTTATTCTAGTCTTTTGTCTTTTTATTTTTTTTTCTTACTTGTAAACTGTTTTCTTAATTACTTTTTTTTTGCTAGTTCATAATCTTTTTGCTTTGTTCTTATTATTCAAGGCTTTATATCTTAGCTGCTAAATTATTTTTAAAACTATTTTTATAATAGCAAGAAGTATTTCTATTTTAATACTATCTTCTTTTTATTTTTATTTAGAAAGGCCTAGTTTATTTCTCTAATATAGCTAACTCTAGTTTCATATTTTTCTTTTTGAGTCAAACTTATTATTTCTTTTTCAGAGCTCTTGTAAAAAATTCTGCTATTTTTTTTTTTGAATCAATCTTTAGTTTTGATCTTAGCTTTTTTAAAAACTTCTTTTTTTATTTTCTTTTGTATATTTTATATATAGCTAAATATGCTAAATTTTCTTTTTCTTTATAATATGCAAATTATATATTTGTTAAATAAAGATTTGAGCTTTTTCTATTTAGCTTATTAAAAATTAGCAATAGCTTATCTATATACTTTATATTAAATACCTAATTTTGACTACTTTTAAGACTATTATATTTACTTCTTGTCTTTTTTCTTTGTACTTCTCACAAAGTTCTTTAATCTATTTGTCTTTTATTTGTACTACTACTAACTAATTTTTCTATACTCTTACTAGATATCTACTCTATACTATAATATATTTTTGTTATATTATCTACTATTTCTCTAATTGAAATATGAAAATTACTACATATCACCGGTGGTGATCATTACCAGTCCTAAGATTTGTTAGGGTTAGGGTTAGAAATTAGAGAATTATTTTTTTTTTATATAATATAATATAGA